CCCCGGACTGAGAGCCCAGCTCCACGCAGGCGGAGCTCAGTAATCCCGCCAGCGTCCAGCCCCCCGGCCAATCCCGTGTTGACCTGCCCCCCCCCGCGTCCCGCCGCCCCCCCCGCCCGGCCCCCCGGGCGGCCCCCCTGGACCCGTGGATGCCGTGGACTTTGAGAGGATCTACAGTTTCCTGAGCGCAATCCAGAAGCCCAAAGAGGCCTGCCCTCTGAGCCCGATGGGTGAGTGGGACCCTCTGCCCCACCCTCAGACCTAACAGAGGGGGGGGGCAGGTTCTCCCCCAGCTCATCACTAACCCATTAACCAGGCTTTAGGACACATTTGAGGACACACACTGAGGCTTTCTACTTTCTCTCAGAAAAGCACTCAGATGGGCCTCTGCAGAGCTTCTTTAGAGCACATGTAGACCATAGGCCATCTTCTACTCACCTTCTGAAGACCTGGACACTCACGTATGTGACCAGCCTTTGCTGCTTTGATTTCTGTTACACAAGCAGCCCTGAGCTCCTCCCAGTGAAACACGCCCAGTGAGGTCCTCCCAGTCCCAGTGAGGTCCTCCCAGTCCCAGTGAGGTCCTCCCAGTGAGCTCCTCCCAGTGAGGTCGTCCCAGTGAGCTCCTCCCAGTGAGGTCGTCCCAGTGAGCTCCTCCCAGTGAGGTCCTCCCAGTGAGGTCCTCCTAGTCCCAATGAAGTCCTCCCAGTGAGGTCCTCCCAGTCCCAGTGAGGTCGTCCCACTGAGGTCCTCCCACTGAGGTCCTCCCAGTCCCAGTGAGGTTGTCCCAATGAAGTCCTCCCAGTGAGGTCCTCCCAGTCCCAGTGAGGTCGTCCCAGTGAGGTCCTCCCAGTCCCAGTGAGGTCCTCCCAGTCCCAGTGAGGTTGTCCCAATGAGGTCCTCCCAGTGAGGTCCTCCCAGTCCCAGTGAGGTCGTCCCAGTGAGGTCGTCCCAGTCCCAGTGAGGTCCTCCCAGTCCCAGTGAGGTCGTCCCAGTGAGGTCGTCCCAGTCCCAGTGAGGTCCTCCCAGTGAGGTCCTCCCAGTCCCAGTGAGGTCGTCCCAGTGAGGTCCTCCCAGTCCCAGTGAGGTCCTCCCAGTGAGACCAGCAGAACTTAACCTGAGCTGACTCTGGACAGAACTGGTCCCCGTTGAAGGCTTCCACAGACAAAGACGTGGGCTGCAGCCACCTGCTCCTCTGAGGGCTGGCAAACTGCCCCCCCCCCCGTAACAACAGGCTACACGGGCCTGACCAACGAGGACTGTCCGACTGACCGCTGTTTGCTGCCCCTCCCCAGAGAGCGCCATGGTTCTGGAGCTGCTGATGTCTCTGCCAGAGGAGCTTGCTCTGCTGGACTGCAGCCGCCTGCACAGACACCTGCTCCAGGTACGCCCCCCCGCCCTCTGCCCGCTCACAGAGGAAAAGCAGCTCTGTCCTCAGGAGCCCGGAGAGGAGCTGCTCCCCTCATTTCCAGTTCATTGAAAAGTCAGTGGAAGACATTGAGACACGTCCCTGATCATTTCAGTGCTCCTGTTGTCAGGGGGAGCTCCACAGCCGTGGGGGGGGGTGTTCCAGAAGACGTAAACCATACTCTGACCACTTTATCCTGGCTTTTGTTTGGCCATGGTGGTGCTAGTGGAGCTTTATATTGTCCTCATACTCCTCAGAATGGTTCTTTTATGGTTGTTGGAATACTCGTGTTAGAATTGGGTGGATGGAAAAAGGACGCCTTCTATGAGTGTCCAGCTCTGTTTTTCATGCAAAAAAAATAAAAATGCTGTGCTTTTTCAGAAGAAAGCAGCAGAAAGGGGCGGACAGACTGACACGTGCGTGGTGTGCAGTGGCCCAGAGGTGGGGGGCTGGATCTGACCGCTGCTCTCTTGTTTCAGGTGTACCGGTATGTGTCGGCCCCTGCCCACTCCAAAGCGGCCAGAGAAGCTCTGGGGGCTCTGAGGGCGGGGCTCTCCGCTCAGGTGGAGGCGCCCGCCCCGGCTGCTGACCACGGAGGGACGAGCAGCCAATCAGGGGACGCGGACACGCTGGAGGCCTGCCCCCCTCTCAACCCCTTCATGGTGCCAGTGAAACTGCTGATGCGTAGATGAGAGGAAGTGAAAGCAAAAGGATGTAGCCAGAACACATTATCCAACAACCACACACCTGCAACAGCGCAAGAATAAAAACATAAATCATAAATAAACATAATAAAACAAAGAATTTCATGCCTTCCCTGTTTTGTATCCAGTGGAGAAGTACAGTCAGTAACGACACACATGGGTCACACGTCTGAAGATGGTCTGGATGTCCCACAGCAGAGGACATCCTGCATCCTGGTGCCTAACACCACAGACTGGTCCAGTATTGATACTGGGCCAGTATTGATACTGGACCAGTATTGATACTGGACCAGTGCTCAAGTTTAGAGAGAGGGCCAATTAGTGGGATGAATCTGAATTACATTTAGGTCAAAAGAAACATTTTCTTCCATCAGATGTCTGTCTTTAACATGAAAACGGAGCTTTAGCCAACTCATCCTTCCACCCATTTCTTAGTTAAAGTTCATTTTTTACGGTCGTCTGGAGAATACCTGGCTGGATTTATGCCAAATCAGTCACATGCACAGGCAGAGAAAGCAGAGTTTGGAAACCCAGCGATATAATCTGAAGTAACCTGTGCCAACAGAACCCAAAAACAGCACACTGAATGAGGAGTGCAGACCTTCTGGACACAGAACCAAAGGTACATCCCTATAAGAGCGTCTTTTCTCTGAGCAAACAGCAGGTTATGGATCCATTTATTTAGATAGAATTTTTGTGCCACTACCTATGGTTTTGCTGCCACTAATTCAAGACAGAATTGTTCCCTTCCTAAGCAGCTCCATGTGACTTCCTCACATGCCACTAACTCTGGAGGCTTCCAGTCTTCTGGGGAGAATGATTAGCATGATGCAAGGCAAATGGACTGTTTAGGAATGAGACCACTCTAACTTGCTCTCACAATCAATGACACCTTAACATTTTCTGTCCAAAGTAATCGCTGTGTAATTCCCATTTTGTCCTCTCTGCCAGACCCACGGATAGCACGAAAAATGGTTTTACCAAAGATTAAAAGTTTGAAGGATTTTAATCCATACTTTTTTTCATATCACCCAACATTTGACAGGGATACCATAATCATCTAATTACACCAGCAGGGTATCTAATAATCAACAGTGTCGTAAAAATGGTTGCTGCTTATCTTCCTTCAGGCAATAGCCAGGTCTAGGGTGAAAATAGCTGGTTCTAAGCCAGCGTCCTGTTTCCCGGTGCAAAGATCAGAGGCCTTCAGCCAGGGAGGTACGAACACTTCCCATTCAGGAGAAAAGAGCATGTTTCCGGATGGGATTCTGTGGCGTGCCTAGTTTAATAATGCATTGTTCTCAAAACTATTACCATTATGCTGACAGCCAATTAGAAAACATTCATGAAGAATCTCCAGAACCAGTGTCAGCGTTAGCTGTGGAGGAGAACCCGTCCGGGACTACTGAAGAAAGCTCTGCCCCGACCCCAGTCCTCCTGATTTTAGTCCACACGTTAGAAATGCCTCAGTCAGGACTTTAGCATCCTAAAACCAGTGTCAGACTACATCCCGCCTGATGCCCTGCCCATCCCAGTTTCTCAGTTTTGGTCTCACTTCTTTGGAAAAATCCCTGCTGAGTCTCCTGAACCCCTCAGGAAAACACCCCCTGGTTCTCTTACCAGCTCAGATAAGTCCCACCTGTTGTTGGATCTGTGCGCTGGGGGTCCAGAGGTGGATCCTGACGGTCCCCAATCCTCAAAGATCTTATGGGTGTGAGGCCAGGAAGCTGTCCTAAGATACCATGACCTAGGAGCTTGAGCTAACAGTACTGTTAGAACCAGGCTGCTTGCTTCTCAAACCAGGCTAAACACTGATCATTTAGCACTTTAAGAGTACATTTATGACGTGGACCTTATTTAAACAACTGCATCTGTCCATCAATCCATGTTCTATACTGCTTATTCCCAACAGGGGGGGCTGGAGCCTATCCCAGCTTACTGCAGGACCGTCCATGGACTCAGTCTCAGATGGGAACAGGAAGCAATTCAGACAGAGAACACCGGGGTCTGGACTAAGAAGCAGAATGACCACAAAATGACAGCAGCACTGACCCTCACAAAAAGACAGGCCAAACATACCACACACAGCTTTGTTCTGTTCTTTTAACCCTTCTTTCCACTGCCTTTGTGGAGAGGAGAGCATGAAGCCATAGGACTGTGTGCTTCTATTCTTCTGTGTAATGTATGTGTGCCCTGTAATCTCACAGGTTCAGTTG